ATCATTTACCACTGAAAATTATCAATGAATGTGATCTGCGACATAAATGTCATATGGCTATCACCGTCAGGCCTGAGGGTATGTTCTTTCCAATTATATAAATTATTGGACAATCAGATTTCAAACAAGAGCTTCTTTCTTGACTTTTCTTGCCACATTCGGGTGCTTCCATATTACGATTAATGTAGAAAAGTAAGAACCATACAATTCCGGCACTTTTATCGATGACTAGGCAGTGCACATAGGCCAGTAGAAATATTGAAACACCTAGACATTTTTGATAACAGACACATTTTATGTTAAAATGAATCATATACATATTCTGTCACACCATACCAATCCCAACCCAAATCAACCTCAGGCAAATATAGTTTTAACCATTTTATTTATCGGGACAAATATGGTAGAAAAAGGGGAAAATACATAATGGTGATTATTTGCCATATTTGGTAAACAAATACAGATTATGATGATAGAAAATGGAATTGGGACGGCCATATATGGCAAACCGTTTTCACATTTACTACAGAATTGTTGATATCTTCAATTGTTTTAAAGATATCGGTATTTTATTTAAAGATATCAATAATATTTTTAATATATCAAAAAAAAATTAAAGGTACGTTGAATTCAATTCTGATATCCCAAATACAATTACTGATATCTTTAAATGTTACTGTGATATCAACAAAATATTAAGCGATATCTCTAAATGTATTTAAGATATCATTAACCAATTACCTACTGTACATAATCATATTAGAAATAAATTCAAGATATCTTAATTTCAATTCAAGATATCTTGAAATAAGTTATACATATCCACGAATGAATTACAGACATCATGAATTCGTTTTAGATATCTTTTAATTCAATTTGAGATATATTTAATTCAATTCAAGATATCATTAATAATGTTGAAGATATCTTTGTATCAATTGTTGATATCTGTAATATACCTCATTATTTGAAGTAGGGTGCGTACCGGTTGATTGAACCGGTGGTAAGGTTTATACAAGTAAGTCTGGATTAATATTTACTGTTGCATCTACACCTGCTCCTAGTGACAACATATCCGTACTGAGTAGCTCAGAGTTAAACTAGGAGGTGGCGCTTCTCAACTGGAGCTAAAACATTAGCGAACATCACATTATACTAGGAAGTGGCGCATTTTAACTGGAGCTACAATATTAGAGACCAGCCCATTATAAGAACTAGTGCCACACTCCTGCAGCTAAAACATTAGCGAACATCACATTATACTAGGAAGTGGCGCATTTTAACTGGAGCTACAATATTAGAGACCAGCCCATTATATGAACTAGTGCCACGTTCCTGCAGTTAAAAAATATTAGAAACCAGCGCATTATGACAAGAGATATCTCAACTAGAGATAAAACATGAGAGAACATCGCATATTAATAGATGTCTCAACTGGAGCTGAAACATTAGAGAGCAACTCATTATAGGAAGTGGTGCGTCACACATTTAGCTGTAACGTTAGAGATGAACCTATTATATGAAGTGAGGCGTCACAACAGCAGCTGAAACATTAGAGACAAACTCATTATATGAATTGGCGCGTCACAACTGGGGCTGAAACAATAGAGACCACGGTCTAGATTTTCGAAGCGATCTTAGATACGATTTATCTTAACATCTTACGTTCAAAGATAAGATATCTCAAGTTTAAGACTAATCACTAACATTATACCTGGAAACACTGAAAACAAAAAAATTCAGGAAGCAGCGCACCCACGAGTTTCTTTTGTTATGTACATATCCAACATATTTCACGAATAAACTGTGGACTCAAATACAATATCAAGCTATTTGTATTTAGATGATGCAAACAAATTTAAACCTATCTACTAGTTTTTAGATCCATAATTCTTATCAAAATTTGAAAGTGACACTTTATTTCTCAAAGGGAGATAAAGGGAATTGTCAAGTTATGATGTCTCATGGAACACATAAACATACATATAATGTAGTCCTTTTCTATCCTTTTAAATTAAGTAGAGCTGATTTGTCTGATTTGATTTAAATCTAGATGAGGAGCGAAATATCTACATTCCAGAACGGAGTTCGCTGACGCTTGGCTTGTCTGAAGCATTGCTGAGGGCCAATTAATAGTATTTGTCCGGCGACCCTATCCTTTACAATGGTATTATTGTTTGAATGGTCTCAAGTATCTATATTTTGTGAATATAAAACGGGTAAATGTACACTTTAATTTGAAAAAGACCAACATCAATTATTATTTTAAAATCAGTCCATTGAATGCAAAATTCAAAGATTATTGTGGTGAAAATGTCTATTTCATATTGATCAGTAAATTTTATTCAATAAACATTTTATGCGAAAATATATTGGAAAGTGAATTTTGGACAATGTTCAAAATATGTTATTTCTTTGCGACATTTTAAACCCAAATGAGCATGAGAATCCATTATTTACTTGATTTTTTCATATCGCCATTCTCGATAATACGATACGAAAATATGTGCTTAACTTTTCCTCTCAAAATATAAATAAATTGCTATATTTAATGGAATACATCTATGTCTTTAATCACCTGGTTTTAAAGAATGCAATTATTCAATAGACAATATTTAATCACCTGTCAAATATTTGTCTTTCAGTAATATAGAGAACCTAGGTGTTGTTTTGAAAATGAAACCAAACACAATTATTTTTGCTAGAAAACATTAAATATACTCTTCATACAAATATACTATACGCATATTTGATCACATGTATTTCCTTGTTAAATAAATAAGATAAGCTGCCCCTGAGTCAATAAGGTCACGGTCATTATTATAGAGCCTGCCGACACCTTCCGTTTTAATCCTTCCCAAATTATCGAAAAGATATGTTGTTTCAAACTTCTTCAGCATGGACTCGGATATTAATATATTGTAAGCTATCGACTCCATAGCTATGTGGTTCGCTGTCGCGATTAAGAACACTTCTAACGTGATGTCTTCTTCATTGCAGTCTTCGTGTTTCTTCGAAGTGTCAATTTGAATTACACAGTTTAACAAAATGAAATGTCAATATTTGAACGTAAAGAAGATTATTTGTTAGAAAAGTATCTATGGCAAAGTATGCCGCCATCCTCTGATGAAGATAACATAAACTTACGACAGGTATTGTGCTATCTTAGATTTGTGACAATCTTACGATATGTTAGGGCTACGATAGTTTCGAAAATAGGATACGATAGCCTACGATTTCCTTGCGATAACCTAACGATAATTTTAGGGCTACGATCGTTTCGCAAAAACAATATAGCTAATTATTATAGAAGTAAGGCGTCTTAGCTGGAGCTAAAACAAGATACACTCACCTTAATAAAAAAAAGGGGGGCGCCTCAGCTGATACTGACACATTAAAAGACCAATTCATTTCAATAACCATAAAATTGAAAACGATAATGTCCGTATCTGCATCGTCTAAGAGATCTAGATGGATCTCAACTTGAGCTAAAACACTTAAAGTACAACTCATTTTAATAGGAAGTGGCGTGTCTTAAATGGAACTTATACATACAAAGACTAACTCGTTATTGTAGGAAGTGGGATGTTACAACTAGAGCTAAAACATACGAGACGAACTGATTATGATAGGGTTTCACGCATCTGAGTTGGAGTCAAAACATTAAAAGACGCACTCATTATGATTCATTTCATGGTATAATCGGCCTTAGCAAGTACTCATTTTACAGCGACAGCGACATCCCTGCATCAACATCAGCACAACGTCCGACTCACCAACAGCTTTCAAACTCCACCACTAAAGTCTCCTTTCTAAAGCCTCCGACCCTACCACAATCTGGCAAAGCCCCATTCTTCTTCAAATATATAAAAGCGACAATACCCTTACCACATTCAATAGAAATCTCTGCTCAAAGCAGAGTCGATTGTTAGATTCCGACTATGTCATGAGCATGTGTTTATGAATCACTCGAATAGTGAAGATATCAGGTGTTCGCGAAAAGGTTAACGTATCCTGCACCACCAGTGGCACCCGTCACAAACACATGTAAAGGCAAGTTAATTGTTCACCTGAAACAACACGGGAACATACCCCATGCAGCCACCATACCCGCCGCCATTGCTGGCCAGTCGAGCCCCGACGTTCATTCAGTTGGACCACCCTCTATGAAGGTTTACACTTTAATGAACTCACACAAAGTGAAAGTCCATTCTTAAGTAATCCCTAAAGGTAGACCTGAGGGCAAGAACTGGAACCTTCCTCGACACATTAGTAGTATAGAGTCAGTAGGCAGGAGCTCCTTTTGGTAGACCATGGTAGACCACCAGACTGAAAGGGCCCCCCCAGCCTATCGGAGCGAGCGCAAGGGACAGCGCGTCACAGGTGTGGAGGGAATGAAAGGTGTGTGTGTTTATAAAACAGAAAAGAATTCGTAAGTAAACAAAAGTAAAGGGTATTCAATAGAGCTAAATGTATAGCGTGCTGTCCTGAATAGACAAGCAGCCCAGTTTGAATCGAGCGCGCTTGATAACTCACGTGACCTCGTCGATTTAAATTGTTTATTGGTCATAATGGTTTCGTTTATTTCAGGCGTTAGTAGAAATTACAATTAGTGTACAACTCACGTAGTCGTTTCAAATTGACCGTGCTCGCGAGAGTGTGCGACTTGGTTTGATGAATGCAGGGTGTGTGTTGAAATTACAAGTACCACAATAGAGACGGGTTATGTCAACACGATATACGCCGGGTAATGTAGGTAGGGAAAAAAAAACCTGTTCGTCTAGCTGGATCAAATTCATCTTATACGGTCTACACGTTGTACATCACGAACGTTAGACAACCTATATAGAAAAAAAATACATAGAGACAAAATAGATAAGACTACGCAATCAGTAAGCTAGCGGTGTCGTTTAATTACATTTAGCGCGCAAGAACGAGGTAGTCACGTCACCCTGCATTGACTATAACGCTGAAGGCAGCCGGATTTCGAATCACCCCGCGCTGCGTACTATTGTGAACCATTTGTATAGAGGGCGTTCACTTATTCAGATCTGTCCCGACTTGCATAGCTGATGTTTCAACGCTAGCGTTTCCATTTAACGCGATGACAAATAAGCCCTACGGTGTGTGTGTTGAAAGTACGACCATACCACAATATGCATTGACTATAACGCTGAAGGCGTCTGGAAAGAGCTGAATGCAGTGCGCTCTGTCAACACTATATAAGGCAGAGCTATTTGGTCATTCTACAATATATAATACACCAGCCAACACTGTTACCGCCTTAGTCTGCTGAAAGCGTTCAAACTGACAACACGTCAATTGAGTTGCGCCCTCTTCTTCTTTTGGCTAATAGCGTTTTCAAGATGGATTCTCCAAAAGGGTGAGTTTATTTATTTTTTATTAAAATTTATTTTTGTTGTTGTAACATCCATTTCATTCGAAATGTCTCATACTTACGAATACATGTAAAAGTTACCCTATCTAACGGCGAAAATTAATTCATTGTGAACGGAACCTGTGTGTAGCTTTGGTCACTGTTTCAGCTGAAATATAAGTGATATTTGTTTACCAGTTACCTTTGTTAAATCTAGGAACTTTACCTGTCCCGTATGTGACCAATCATACCGGGACAGATCCAACCTGGGGCGACATATGCGCACAAGTCACAGGGGAGACAGATTCATTTGCGAGAAGTGTACAAAATCATATACAACTAAGTGGAAATTAAATCGCCACAAGTGTGCCTTCTCGCAGGGTGGAATGCACGAATACAGGTGTAGCGTAAGTTTTGAATTTATGTTTATAAATCTTAAGTTAACGCTCGTATGATCCCAATAGACGTTATTTCATAAGATCTTTTTTTTTTTTACACATATAGGAATGTCGTGTTAGTACAGCGTTACTAAGCCTTAAAATGGCACTGCCAGGGTTGGTTTTATGGTCATAGGATACGATAGATACCTTGCATAGGTTTTAATAAGATCTATTTTCTACAAACACAGAAATTTCCTTTTAGTGTAAGTTGTAAAATACTAGCGTGAGGTTCGTTTCTACGTTCATTGGATGAGCGAAATCAAGAGGGTTAGTAAAAGTTAACTTATACATGTTATACCTACAGAAATGCTCTGAAACATGTGCATCTCCCCGTGAGTTGGCCGTGCATTTCCGACTTCATTCCGACAGTAAGTGTGTTATTGAATCTGAACTGCTGGCATGAACATTATTTGATTAAAATACACCCATAAAGATTTCTCTTTCTAATACATTGTATAAGAAAATATAGGACGAAACAGAATCACCACGGTTTTAAAAAAAAAAATAAATTAATTTAAGTTTGATTTGAGCATGAGTTAGTTTTATAGACCATTTTATATCTCTCGTTATTAAAGGGTCCACTACCACAGAGCCCCAACCGTCCACCTCCTCCTCGGGGCTGAGCGGCGCTGAAATGAAGTCACCTGGAGGTATGCATATGATTAAGATATACATAACTATACAGAACTATAGCATCAGCTGAAGCCTAAGTCTATGCATTTCGTTCAGTTATTCATGATGTATACATTTCTTTCAACAGCTTCTTCCCGCCATGCGACTGAAGCCTTTTCATGTCGCACCTGCCACCAACGTTTTCTGACCCGGTCGTCTCTCTACCGACACCAAATGACAGAGGGACATCGGGTCTTGCCGTCCCAGTCCGGCAGTGGCGACGGGAAGGAGAACAAGCTCCAGGATCGTCCCTGGGGAGAGGATCCGGCCCCTTGGGACGCGGAAAATGGCCAGGTAGCGGAGCCCGGACTTCAGGAGGCCTATGACCTGAACGCTCCGTTTATCCTGGCCCCAGACCATCACGGGGACGTGCTTTCGACATTCAACGTTCCCGTGACCAATGTCATATCTATAGGTGAGTTGATGGAACGTGCCAGGGATATTTATCAAACTTTAAATTATAGTTTTAGAATGAATTTAGCGTTCGGTGTCATCTTGCGTCATGTGGAAACGGGGCGCTATCGCTATTTCCATCCCTACGTTAATGATGCTGTGTTTTCATCTCCCATCTATGTCACCGAGCGCAAGGGACTCGAGCGATTGCGTCAAGCAGTAGAAAGCCTAGATCTCCTCTCTCATGTATTGAAACAGCGTCCTGACACCAAATGGAAAACGGTTTTGATCACGAATGTACAGTTTTACGTGTACAGAACAAATTTTCCTCTCGGCCATCCTCCCTCCCCACTCCCGGCCTATATTAAAAACCACAAGGCTATCTATTCTTTAGATTGTAATCACCATGGTCAACTTTATGAGGACCACTTGTGTGCTTTCCGCTGCTTGGCGCTACATCGCAACCCTTCTGCACGGCGTTCTTTAGAAAAACCTGCTAGAGCTCTTTACTATCAATGGGTGGTATACTCTCGGGGTAAACTTTTTCCTTCTCTGGACAATGTTCGCCCCGAGGAGTACACCGGTCTTGACCCAGATCATTTTTCTCATTTCGAAAGTTGCTTCGGTGTGAACCTGTCTGTGTATACTCTCAACGAGATAGGGATAGCTCAACCCCTGTATAAATCTCGCGGCCGGTTTAACGATGACATCTTTCTAAACCGCTATGAATCCCATCTGTCCCTCATCACTGATATGAAAACATATTGTAAACGTTATCAGTGCCTCACCTGTGAAAAACTCTTCCGTCACAAAGCTAATTTTAATCAACACCAACGCACGTGTACGGGTCAAACGACCTTGTCCTTTCCCGGTGGTTTCCACCGGCGTACCAAAAGTGTCTTTGACGAGTTGGAAGAGTACGGTTTATCTGTCGAGTCCGGAGAGAGATTTTTTCCGTGGTTTATCGTGTTCGACTTTGAATGTTTGCTCCAGCCCATCGACCAGGGCACCGAGAAACTGAGGTGGATGCAGGAACACAGGCCCATTTCTGTGAGTGTGTGTTCCAACGTGGAGGGGTTTACCTCTCCTCACTGCATCGTCAATGCCGATCAAGAAGTATTGATCGGCGACATGATAGACTACATGTCTCAGATCGCCTCCAGAGTCAACGAACTCGCCACGGAAAAATGGAGTTTTCAGCTGGGCTACCTCAGAACTCGACTGGCTAATTTGCCGGAGTCTGGAGATGAGGAGAAGAAAGAGGGTGCTCCGGATAACCCTCTTTCACAGCTTTGTAAGCAACTCTCCAGTTTGTACGGGAAACTTTATGGGTACTGTTGTCAAGTCCCCGTACTGGGTTTCAACTCAGCTCGTTACGACTTGAATGTGATCAAGGAAAAGCTACCCAAACATCTCTCTCTCGACGATGCGGAATCTTGCGGGTTCACCGTCAAGAAAAACAATGGTTACTTGTGTCAAAGTAACGAGAGTTTTAAATTTCTTGACGTCACGCAATATCTCTCTCCCGGAACGAGTTATGCTCAGTTTCTGAAAGCATTCGGAGTTCAAGAGAAAAAGGGATTTTTCCCGTACGAGTATCTTGACAAGGTCGACAAGCTGGAAGAAACACGGCTTCCACCTTTGGGCGAGGCTTGGCATTCCAGTCTCAAACAGAAATCTGTCCTCGACGACGGCTTGAAATCAGTCGAGGACAATTATACCGACCTCGAGGAAGTCTGGAGACGGGAAGGGATGTCCACGTTTCGAGATTTCCTCGAGTGGTATAACAATTTAGATGTAGGCCCATTTGTCGAAGCCGTTCGAGCCATGCAACGGTTTTATTTCGAGGACGGTATAGACCTCTTTAAAACCACCATGTCGGTACCCGGTGTGGCCCGGCAAAAACTGTTCCGGGAGAGCGAGAGAGAGGGGGTCACCTTTGCTCTGTTCGATAAACAGAACAAAGATCTGTATCACACTATCAAACAAAATGTGGTCGGTGGCCCCTCTATAATATTCACAAGATTCCACAAAGCAGGGCAGACGTGCATCCGCAGTGATCCGGCTAAACCCTGTCGTCGCATCGTAGGCTACGACGCGAATGCCTTGTATCTGTGGGCCATCGATCAAGACATGCCCACAGGTCCATTCATACGGCGTCGGGTAGATAATCAATTTAAACCCGAGACGAGGGACAGGTACATGTCCATGTACTATTGGATGGATTGGCTTAGGGATTCAGAAGGTTTAGATATCAAGCACAAGTTAAACTGGGGTCGAGAAAAAAGGATCGGTCCGTACTTGGTGGATGGATTTATTCCAGACACCAAGAAAATCCTGGAATATAACGGATGTTATTTTCACGGCCATCCTTGTTTTCTCACCGAAAAGGCTAGGGCAGATCCTAAACTGAAAGATCTCTTGGAAAAGCGGTGCAAGAACACACTGTTGCGTGCGGAATTTATCCGAAGTCAAGGCTACGAACTCGTAGAAATGCGTGAATGCGAGTTCCTCGCCCAGTTGCGCAACAATCGTGATCTCGCTCGTTACATCCACGCCAAACGACCGACTTTCTATCGCAACAACAGAGGTGCTGTGAGCGAACGTCGGATCTTGCAAGGGGTGTTGACCGGGGAACTGTTTGGCATGGTTGAAGCAGACATTCATACACCCGAACAGTGGATCCCCGGACAGAACCCCCACGGTACTCGTCTCTCCCCTCGAGAGTATTTCGAGGAAATGACTCCCTTGTTCTGTAACGCAGATGTTCCGTTCGAGGTGGTGGGGGAACATATGCAAGACTATATACGGGAGAACGACCTAAGCACAAAACCGCGGCGCATGCTCGTCGGCGGTGTGAAGGCGCGTAAAATGATGATCGCCACACCTTTGTTGAGATGGTATCTCGAACACGGTCTGGTGGTCGATCGCGTGTATCAGGTCGTAGAGTACACTCCGAAACCGTGCTTCCAACGGTTTGTCAGTGATGTGTGCTCGGCGAGACGAGAAGCCGACAGCGACCCTAGCAAATCTATTCGCGGTGATACGGCAAAACTGACCGGTAATTCTGCTTACGGTTCAGTGTTGATCAACAAAGAGAAGCACCAAACCGTATCGTACGTGAGTGGTCAGACGGCGGCGAGTGATCAAGTGAACATACCCCAGTTTCGCAAATTGACGGAACTGGGAGATGAGTACTTTGAGGTGGAGAAAGCCAAGAAATTACTCCGCCTCGATACTCCGGTGCAGCTGGGATATTTCATCTTGCAGTACGCTAAGTTGCGCATGCTTCAATTCTACTACGATTTCATGGATGTGTACGTAGATCGTAGTGATTTTGAATACTGCGAAATGGATACGGATTCGGCTTACATGGCGCTCAGTGCGCCGTGTTTAGCAGAGGTGATCCGTCCCCACATGAAGCCAGAGTATGATCACCAATTACAGGGACTATGCGGGACGCTAGAGGGCGTCGCCATGCGTTGGTTTCCACGCACGTGCTGTTCCACGCACGCCCTTCACGATAAACGTACGCCGGGTTTATTCAAACTCGAGTACGAAGGAGAGGAAATGATTGGGCTCTGCAGTAAGACTTACGCCGTATCCCAATCCACTCTCGAGCGCATTCCGCGTCCCTTGTCGAGTTCGACGGTACAGACAGCGCAACGCCTCCTCCGTCGAGCCCGCCGCCAACGTTGCCATAAATCTAACAACAGCCGCCGTTCGAATCCTCCCTTGATCGGCAAAATCCTGCGCAAGGTGAAATTCTCTTCGAAAGGCATTTCCAAACGCACATTGAAAAACCCTCTAATTGCGTTTCGGCAGGTCTTGCGCACGAGAGTTCCTGGGGAAGGTTCGAACCGCGGATTTAGGTTAAAAGGCAACACCATGTGCACGTATTACCAGCGTAGACAGGGGTTGACCTATCTCTACTGCAAACGCAGAGTTTTAGCCGACGGCGTTCACACCGCTCCCTTAGACCTAGAGCTTTGCCCCTGGCCACGTAGTGACGACAGGTTGGATGACACCGACACCTTTTTGGCCGAACTTTTAGAAAATTTAGCAGAAAATTAAACAAACAAAAATAAGTCCCAAGCACGTTCCCTCAACTCCAGTAGTGTACATATTATAGTTATTTATTTATTTATTATTATGATTAGAAGCATATTGTGATAAACAAAAGTATTTCTATCAAAAGTATTCTCTTCGCTACCTGTGATATTTTGGTTTCTCAAATGTATTTACATGAATAAATCTATGTTATTTTGGAAAGAGTGTTGGTTGTCTTTTGTGCCATGTAGGTCTACTTTCTAGAAGTCGTGTATGAAATAATACATCCATTCGTATACGAGTCCCGTACCCACACGGAACAGAATGTACTATAAGTTCACTGCATAGTGCAAACTTATCAGAAAATAAGACTGGTTTCCTTTGCTGTAAAATGAGAAAATAAGACTGGTTTCCTTTGCTGGAAGCAAAAGAGGCAAAGTTAGTTTCATGGGCGCCATTCTACACCCTATAGTCTCGGAGGGCGATGCTATGCGCTATTATGTGTATTGTTAGCGAATTGGGGTGTGGGTAGGGTGCTTATTGTAGGCGCAAAGGGGACAGGCCCTTTAAGAGCGACTTCAGCGTACTACCATTCTATGTACCGCATAACATTCACACAAACAACACGAGACTGCCATTCTATCGATTCAGTGTTTATTACTAACAGTTCGTTAATGGCGATACATAAGACAGTATAGTCATTTTAATACACAGTTTCCAGTGGCAACATGAGACAAACTTTCTATCAATTCACGTTTAACACTAACAACAAGAGAGATTCCATACTATTTTACAGTTTCTAATGGTTTGAATTTCTTCTTCGCACCGGGAACACCGTCCCTCACTTTGCCACGCACGAACATGGGTTGAGTTCGTTTTCTATTGCCTTTTCCCACCTGAGAGAAAAAGGGTTGTGAGTTGGGTAGATGTTTCAGTTGACGGGTAAATGCTTGAAATCCAACATCTTTTATATCGTTACTGTGTAACACAAACTGTCGAATACTGTCAATCACATTAGAATGCTTTATAGGGTGTCCGTGTTTATCCAACCATTCGAGGTTAGCATTCCAGTTAATGCGGCCGAGCTCTTTTTGTTGGTTGAGATATTGCCATAGCGACACTAACTTTCCCTTTCGGTCGTTCGAGTGGACGCGTTGTAACAGTAGATATAAAACATCTTGACAGTATAGGAGGGGTGGGTTCGCTACTGTTGCATTCCCTCCTCCTCCTGTTGTTTGTGGGATATGTGAGGCGATGTTATCGTGGTTGGCCGTGTCCCGCTCAGCCGGTGGTTCCTCAGTTGTAGTGTTGTCTGGAGTCTGCTGCTGTTGCGGCATAGGGGCTGGTGGGGGTTTCAGGGCTGGAGGGGGGTTGGCTTCCATCTTCGGAGGAGGTTGGATCAGGCGATGGTACGTCTCGCGAGATAACAGGATCATGGGTTTCGTCATGTTCAGGTGCGAAATACCTATCGAGCGCTCTCACACAAGGTGGTAATATAAAGTGAAAAGAAACCAGCAACTCCCTTTTAGCTCTGTATCCTTCCCGTTTGCTGGCTAGTAAACGAATGATCTTTCTGTACCGGTACAAGGTCTTTTTCTCGCGATCCGTCACGGTAATGTGTCCGATGATAATGTTATGTAACAGCGTGATGATGGCCTTAAACTGGTTTTTGGACAGATGAGACAGTAACGTTTTACGCTGTACAGGCTTAGTCCGACTCAGTACGTGGAGAAAATCCACGTTATCTCGAATACACTCGCTCATGGTGTGAAGCGAACCTTTTTGTACGTATAACCTACAGGCCCGCCGTATGAATCGGGTTGGTCCACTCCAATACGCCAAGCTTCTTTAAGAGATGTGATGCACGCTTCCTTCGATGAAAACCACGTAGGGCTCTCTTTTAAGGTGATCTCTTCGGTATGGTGCGGGGTAGCTCTTACGGACAAGGTAGAGGGTGGCGGGTTACACACGATGGTCCAAAAGTAGACCTTGCTCATAGCGCGGCTGCTGTAAGACTGACTCGACTAAAGCGTGTTTATCGCTTTTTATTTGGGAAAATAGAGGGTGCAAAGTTCGCCGGGTAAGATGCCGGTGCGTAAGCGTCCGTATTCCGGGTCACTGTACGGCGAGGCGTCCACGACTAAATAACCGTATTTCCTCCCTTCCACGGCATCCTTGTAAGATTCCGAAAAAAACTTGCTTTGACCTGGAAATATTTGCGAGGCCAAAATCTTGTATTCGTGAGCGGAACGGGGATTGCTCATCAAGACGAATATATGCGTATTCACGCTCACCGTCCGTGAACAGGGACCTTTAGGGTAGACGGACTGTAGCAGATTGATTACGGTAATACCCAGATGATGCGACAAGGTGGTGTATACGTTTAACATGAGTTTACTGGTACATATGTCCATCATGAGATCGTCTAACACGAGAATCATGTTTTTGCACGACTGATCGGACCACAAACGTAGTTGGCTTTCGCTGGGCAAAGATTCGTGAAACTGAATGTTAGCAATAGATTGCTGCACGTCGGCGTACAGATCCTGCCACACCCCGTAACAGTACACGATGAGGTCGGGTGGCTTATCAAACACTGTACTGGCATTCTCTAACAGGCGTTTCGTCCAATAGGTCTTGCCGCTACACGTGCCCCCGATTACGGACAAGGTGGTAGGTGTGATGAAAGGGAGCAAACATTTCTCGGACATATTTCACGGAGTGTTTGTTTGAACTGATACATTCTGTCACCGGTGCGGGGTTATTTATGCAGCCCTCGGTACGAGTGGCCGTTGTTGACGTCTAGCCAGTCTTTGGAGAGCTCTTTGGGCTTCGTCTCTGACCTGTCTGACGTGTTCGTACTCGAATATAAACTGAATCAAGGGAGTATGGTTTAACAGGGTTCGCTTAATGCTTCTATTCGTCGTGTCGGGACGAGCGATACGTCGCAACATTCTCAAATAATGGTTGTGGGGATGAGGCTGTAAGAAACGACGATTCTCACCGCGTGTTACCGGGATGCGAGCATCGAGCAATCGCTTTACGATGGCTTTAGTACCCTTGATTTGCTCGCCGTTCATGCTGCGAATATCGCTCAAGGTTTCTTGGTAATCGTTCGACGAAAGAAGTTGTCTGAAAAACGTGTAATGTCGCAGGACGTATCTCGCCATGTCTGAATCGTACGGTGTCACACTCGACAATGACGCGTACTCGTGAGACTTTGATCTTAAATAATCATAAAAACCGTATAACCCAACTTACATAGAACCCTATACATACGTCCATGTCATATATAGAACTGAAACACAATAGACATTTTCTCTGTTTTTATTGACTCGTCTACCACTCTACAGGAGGAAAGATCGTGTTATATCGTAGAACACGTGAAACAGTACTTGAAATAGTCACAGATAAAGCGAGTCACATACGCATCATTGCGTGTTTTGTCTGTACAAAACATCTGTACGATATCTCGTAAACTAGCACTATTTCTACATTTCTGTAACGCGTAATATAAACAATAGAATCCACAAGCGCTCGAACTAGATTGCTGTAAAACAGACGTGTTATATCGATAACTGCGAGAATGTTTCTTGATAAAATATTCAAATTCACGATGATAGTAACTGGGTTTCTGTCCATAACTATCAAAAAACTCGGCGACTCCACACCCGTCAAAGTAAAAGGCAACCCAATGTTGACCCTCGCCCCGTGCTAGGTCCGTGTTAGCCACACATCCCCATGGTTTTCCACTGGAAGGTACGGTGATGTTAGCTAATGTATCTCTCGCGTACACACCCACCACGTGTGTACGGAGGCTGGGGTCGCTACGGATGGCACACTGTAACTGTCGTTTGTACATTGTCTACTTTAGAAACACGTTACGGCTTTGGTCGATTTCGATGAGGGCCGGAAACTTGGCCAGGGCGATGACGTTGAAGGTATGGGCGAGGGCTTGAGCAAACTGGACTTCTAGTCGTAGATTACCCGACTTGACCAGATTCAGATATTCCCCTCTGTCGCCTTGGATGTCTTGCAGGTTAAACACGTACAATGCATGACCTACGGAAAATTCCGTGCGGTCCAAGTTCAAACCTTTGTCTTTGCGCCATTCGTTATTCCAGTCGTACAGACCGGCGTAAGCCTCGACGTCGTTCGATTCTAACGGCCGTCCGGGTACACTGGTACCGTTCAAGTACAGTCCCATGCTTTTAACGATGTCGCCTTGGAAACAGAAGGGATTGACCGTGTACGATCCGTTCACCCCATCGGACCTCACCAAGGCGATCACGAGTCGACTGGGGACTTCGTCCTGAAACATGGCGTCCCAGTTAAAACTCAGACTGGACGAGGCGACCGAGGCCATTTTGATCATGGATCGTTCGTATGGGTACAGGGCGTTGGCTTTTTCGAACTGTTTGTTGTGGGCCACGATGAGAGCGTCGTTGATCCTCAGTTTGCATACTTTCAGGTACACGTCTTGCAGTTCGACGGTGTAATGTGTATCGGTCTCGTCGGACATCAAGACAAAGGTCGTGTTGGAGCGAAACAGTTTGAGCCCCACGTCCACGCCGTTCACCAGATGACGGTCGAAACCGAACACGTCTTCCATGAGGGGCCCCGTTAGGGTGAGCGACTTGCTTCCGGCGATAAAGCTTCCTCGATTGATGAGACCGTCATTGCTACCGGCATAGGGATCAGCGGAGTTAAAATCATCCACGGTGACACCCGAATCTTTGTAATACAGCTGACTGGTCAGCTGACTGGTCTTGGTATCGGCGCCGTAGTCGAGGACGGTTTCCATGAGAGCTTTGTAAGGGTAACCGGCATTGCTGGAGCTCACTTGTTGTCCCTGTAGGAACACGCTCACCTGATTCCACAAGCTGTGCAAAGTGAGGTTGACGGGCCCTACTTTTTCTTTATCGGCTAAGGGCGTTTTGTCGGTGTGAGTGACTTTGAGTTTGACGTGAAGTCGGGTCTTGCTCAAGTCGATGTAGTCTTTCCCTCCATTGGGTATGTGAAATTCCACCGGACTGGAATCGGTGATGACGGACAGGGGCCTTACGTTCTCGTAGTAATGTTGAAGGATGCTGGTTTGATAGGGTGGCAGTTCGAATAAATCTAAGCTATTTGGCAGGGCTTCGGAAAACTCTTTCTCCGTCAGTACCGACATGGTTACTGGTTGAAGATGTCTCTGGGGTCGACAGCGGGGGTATCTTT